CTATTTTCGATATTCTATTTGGTTGCTTCGCAATGTTTTTGTCAAGTTTGTTGATCAAAGAGGAAACAAGAGGAAAGTTTGCTGATAAACTTTAAGGATACGATTGACCTTCGCGGGTGTCGGTCGCCATATTTGAAGCATAACCACCATAAACTATATATCAATGGAAAGGTAATAAAATGCACTATTTGAAAAAAATTATTTGGTACACCGAATGAGGTGCAACAACCCGAAATGGACGATGGTTCTTTAAGCGAATGAATCGCATATAAAATCTGAGCGCATAATTAAAACTTCTACACGAGGGGTTGGGCTTCAAAAGCGTATGAGGATTTTTGGATATTCTATTTGGTTGCTTCGCAATGTTTTTGTCAAGTTTGCTGATCAAAAGGGCATACCGGTGGAATAAACAAAGAGGTTTTGTGCAATCAGGGCGTTTGTAATATCTCAATCATTTTATAATACTTTTTAAGAGTTTATCATGATTGCTATCAATTTATGATTTTTTAGAGAATTCAAACGACTGGCACTGGATTTGTTGGAAAAATGTTTTCAAGAAAATGAAGAACTTACCCAACAGCTCCTGACATATCATCTGGAGAACTGGGGCGGACAGACATGTCTGTCACTTGCTGTCGCCGTTGAACATGAAGAATTTCTAGCACACAGTAGTTGCCAGGCTCTTCTCACTGATATATGGACGGGAGCAATCAAGAATGCGCACAGATCTTCAATTAAGGTGAGGAATTATGATCTTGCCAACGAAATATAGCGCTTTGAAGTTTTTCGATTTGGGCTGTGCGACCGAAAAATGCAGATAAATCACAGAGGCCAGTGAGAACAACAGCACGCACTTAGAGAACTTGGGCATTCTGAACTCGAAGGAAACACAAGAAATCAGTCTTAAGCATAGAGGGACGTGAGTTAATAAGTCGTGATTGGTTTCAATTTTGCATCTTGTGGTTGAGAAGATGCTGTGAGGTTCAAAAGCCAATCCGATAGAAAGAACGGATGCAGGCAAATCCAATGCAATCGCAGATTCATTCTCGAAGCTTGATTCTAAAAATTTCTCTATTATTTATGCTCTACTTTTCGGCTTAACCAGCTAAATATTCGTGGAAGATAGAGAAAGTAGACTCGATTTCCGCCGCTATCTCGGGTCTGGTCTTTCTCGTTCCTCCCGAGAAGGGGAGGAGCGTGGGCTCCAGTTCCCGGCCAGTGGCTGGTAATCGAGCTTCTAGTGAAAGGCGATTGAGTAATTGTTTTTGAACCAGAAACAGCGGTCTTACAAATAAAAATAATTGCCTCTACATTTTAGAATTGTTTCCAGTGGTTTTCAGCAGAAGCCTAAAAAATCTTTCAAAGCAAATTGGAGGTTACCAAACGCCGAAATTAGTTTTGAAAAAATCGCTTCATTTAAAACAAATTCGACTTACATAATCTATATTCTCATCCGTCTCTTTTTGTGCCTACAGACAATGCTTGGAATCCTCATACCTCCCACGATATTTTTACTGGCATTTAAAACAAAACAGGAGCTATCATCCATGCCGGTTCCACAGGAAGAATATGAACAAGAATTAACTACGGAGGAAGAATGTGAAGAGGAGGAAAATGAAGAAGAAATCCCAAGCTACAGAACAAGCCCAGCAATGACGAACGACAGCAAAGCGATGGAGTTGAGGTTACACTCGCTGAGCACTTCTTTTCTTCGGAGTTTTTTAGCTACGTAAAGGCTGTTTTCAAAATCAATTTCTTTCCTATCTTAACCGGCACATGGTCAGGAGAGCATGCACTGGGCCCGTGTTCGCATTACAGTTAACATTTATGGTTTTTTTTTCTCTACTGTTGTTTTCCTGATGGCTTCTTTGTAGCTTTGTTCGCGATTTTCTCGTAATTTTCACATTTGCGTCATACAGTTTGAAGAATTTTTTTTTAAGGAAAAAACGTGATAGCTGTGATAATTGCCTTGTGTGATGATCAAAAATACAGATGGGAACACAATCCTGCAATGGCTCGCTCTTGTACAAAGCAGTGAACGCCTACCCTAAGAGTTAGCGAATTTGTTTCATTTTTATGATAAGTAATATATAAACGTTCTTTCCTCGAACTTTCAGAACGCTCGCTGTGTCACGTGAGTTGCACAGGATACCCACGTACCATGTGCGCAGACGAGAGACCCGTGTGGTGAAACTGCGATGGACGAGGAAGATATTAGAGTTCTACAAAGCACCTGTTACTAAGTTTTGGTCCAACGTGGTAAGCTGCATCATGGAGTGATAGTGGATATAAGAAAAAAATTAGGGAAGAGAAAGGGATATTCAGGCATCTGTGGAGGTTTTGCCCCTTCGCAAGTTCGCCCTGAACCAGTTTGAGTTGCCTCCATTTCGACGAGTTTGACTAGTCAAATGTGACTCGTCAATTTCCACGTAGATCGATCTTTTTATGATTTCTTCCGAAAAACAACGCGTTTTGTCGTTAAGAAACGAACTTAAATATGTTAGGCGGGTCGGGGGAAAGCAAAGTCAGGGAAAAAGTAAAGGAAGAGGCAAACTTGTTTGTTCATGGAACGTACTTGTCTAGGTGGGGCCAAACAAGTTGGGAGTGGTCTTTCAGTGGGGCGAAACTTTCAGATACCCATTCAGGGCGCAGCAGAAATGTCTTGACTCCATTCAAGTTACTTCTAACTTTTTTATGGGGAAAAATAAATGTGTATCAATAGGTGTGAGTTCTTGCTCTTTATCGTAGTCGTTGCTAAGCTGTCTGCCATTATAAAACTAACGTTAACACATCCTAAGGCCTGGACTGGGAACCTCCCCCTCTAATCCCTTGCTTTTCTTTTATGGAAACCATGACGCAGTTGAAACTATTTTACGTTTTAAAAAGTGTGGCAGTTCTACACGGGCATGATCTTGAATATTGCAAAACGTGATTTATTCAGTGATTCGAGAAGAGTGAAACAGATGATCGAATTATTGAATAATAACGCTACGTCAGTAGTTTGCGGACGTATGCTCCGTTTTGGTCATGTAACTATTCCCAAACATTATCCAGTAAACGGGCAGTAAGAATATTAAAAATTATCCGACTAAAGTTGTCATTTTGATCTTACATCAAATCCTCGTAACTAATTTACCAGGAAGTGTGTAGCAGTCAGAGTAGAAAATAAAAAATCAGTTCTTGGTAGTTAAAGTGTTGGAGGATACATTTCTTGATACAATTTTTCTGACAATGTTTTTTTCTCTGTGTTTTTTTGTTTTTTTTTAATTTGTTTGTTTGTTTGTTTTTTGTTTTGCAGTTTGCTTATATGGCGTTCTTGGTGCTGTTTAGTTTTGTCATCCTCGTAAAACAAGACAAAATTCCTTCCATCAGTGAAATGGTGCTCATCATTTTTGTTTGTACACTCTGTACGGAAGAAATCAGACAGGTAATTCATAAACAAGTTGATAAATATTTATATAAATACCCTAATAACCTAATGTTAATGCTATAGAATTGTACGTTTTCTGCCGATCCTTTACATGGTTAGAAATTAAAATGGGTGCTAGGGATATAATTATCGAGAGAGGTTTGATTTTCTTGTCTAAAATTCCCGCGTATCTTTAATGATATGGTTAATAAGTAAAACTAAAGCACAAGATGCAGTAGATTGCAACTAATGGTGAACTCCAGACTGCGATCTCTGCATATGTACCACTTCTTCAATTTTAACACCATATCATTTCTGAGCAAACAATTGAAAATCAAAGTGCTCTGTGAGCAAACTCGTGAATTGACAGGTGACTTACAATTATTTTTTTGATTTTGTCTGTTATCTGGTTTCAGTAGGGAATCTTGTAGTTGATTGTCATCTTTAGAGTACGAGTAGTAGTTCAGTTTTCGCGTTGACTCTGTTGGCTGAAGAGATATGATGAATCATTTCTCTGGTTAACAACCATTCTGTCGGTACCCCCTCAAATCTTAAGTCAACCAATACGAAGGCAATTGTTAAGGCCCACTGTGTTACAGTAAGTCAATGAATCAGCCTTTGTAAACTCAACAATATTTATTTCGCATTAAGAACGTGTTTTACATGAATTTTTTATGTGAACAGGGACAAAAGTGACAGAAAAAACTATGTGAGCTGAAACAATGCAAGAATAAACTACAACAGAAGTGGAAAAAATGCTAAACGCGCATAAGTTTATAATTTTCGTGAGTAATTCAATACTACACAATTATTTTCCACCATTTGTTGTAACAAATGGTGAAATTATTCAAAAGCAGCAACCTTTCAAAAATCGTGTCATCTGTCATGGTTTGGAGAGTGTTGCCGATCATTTGTTGAATGGCCGAATCTTCTTTAAGCTTATATCTTCTAATTTAGACCTTTGAAACAACTTATTTTAGTTAAGGATGGATAGCAATTTAAAATTACTTAGCGAGTGTAACTTATTTGAATAATGTTTGCAGCCCAACGAACGATCGAGCGACCACATTTTCCCACACAATGACTTGCGTTGCACATGCGCAATTCACGAGTTAAAAAAGAGGCAAACTTTGATGGCGTTATCTTGATATGGCTCCTAGCTCTCTTAACTGTATAACAAATACAAGGATGTTTAACTAATCAGATATTTGGAGATAAGGGGTTTATATGTTGAGTGTTTCCATGGCGTTTAAGAAAGAAAGTGGAAACATCGAAGAAGCTTTTAAGCCAGCACTTTCTTTATTTTTGTCAGATACTCCACTCTGAGCCACCAACATTTGGTAGCAAATTAAACGACTGGGCGTCCAGTAAATGGAATCTTCTCGACGGTTTTGCAGTCGTATCGTTTTTCATTGGACTCGGACTTAGGCTTCACCCAACCACACGCAGTGCTGGTCACGTGGTATACTGTCTCGATGTGATGCTATGGATAATTCGCCTTTTGCACATATTTTCTGTCAGCAAACATCTCGGACCTTATGTGGTCATGATTGGGAGAATGGTAATGCAAAAAATATTTTTCAAACCTCTTTGCTCAACTTTCTCATACGTTTCTGATGGATGGGTAGAGGTAGTAACAATTCTCCAAGAGAGAAGAGTTCGCCTTACCCTACGCGCAATAAACGCCGCGCATTATTTATTCATCATCTTTATGCTTTCATTTATAGACTGTAGATATGCTGTATTTCCTCTTGATCATGGTCATCTTCCTCCTGGCCTATGGAGTCGCCCAACAAGCCATCTTGTACCCAAATGAGATAGCCTCCTGGTCTACGGTGTCGGGAGTGTTCTTCAGACCTTATTTCCAGGTTTATGGGGAGCTTTTTTTTGATGAACCAGACACGAGTAAGAGGTTTTATCTTTAAAGATAACAGTCATAACCAAGCAGCGTAAAACCCTCGAGGTATCGCCATACTAATTATAAAGGTTGCTTTCAAAGAATGGATGGACTGTAGTACAGGACGTTTGATTTTCTTGATTGCGACATTTTAAACCTCCTTACATTTTCAATGGTTAGTTCATTACGAAATGTGCTTCTTCAAACGATCGAGTGTTCTCTCTAGAGGAACAAATCTTAGATTTATCTCTCCCAGGAGATTTCCCTCGCTAAACGCCTCTGTAATGAAAACGTTTGTTTGTTTTTTTATCACGCCGCTCGAAAAGCTCAAAAATTTATAACAACGTATTTCAAACTAACAACATCCCAGTGTGGCAGGTAATTCAATATTTTCAATATGGTAGGAGTTAGAGAAGTGCCATGTTCATTTAGTGAGGATAATAGATTGCGAAAACAATCGCAATCCATTTTGAGAACGGATGTTAAAGATGAGAGTCAGTCATTATTGAGCTGATTATTGCTTTATTGAAAATTTCGTTGCAGTAAGCCCGACAGAGACTGTATTAGGCACTCCAAGAAAAGATAAACATGGTGACACTATTGTGGTGCTTATCATGGCCTTTTATCTTCTGGTCGCCAATATTCTCCTTCTGAATCTTCTCATCGCCATTTTCAAGTAGGTGTTGTGGACTGGTTTTCGTAGACATTAATTGTATACTCGATATATTTACTTTGCCGCCCAGGGTTAAGTCACATTGCATATCGACATTACATCTTTGTTAGAAGGAAATAATCTTAAAAATTGTCTCATATAAGTTTCTTTCTTGTACTCAACAGCAACACGTTCTCCAGCGTACAGGCTAACGCAAATCAGATTTGGAAGTTTCAGCGGTATTACTTGGTCATGGAGTATGCGCAGAGACCGGTGTTGGTTCCTCCTTTCATCATCCTTAATCACGTGATCCATATTCTAAGGGGTTTATACCGCTGGCTAAAAAGCTGTCTGGGACGAGGCAACACCAACCACGAAACGTCTAGTTATGGACTAAGTATGGCTTTTCTTCATGGATAAAACAATATTTCAGTTAACAAAACAGACAAAAACGTACCCTGTGAGGATTCGAAGCTCCACCTGTTCGATTTCTCAAAGCTGCGCTACAGAGATAACCCAGGCCATGTATCCCATAGAGTCCTTTACATGGAAGGGTTGAAAAAATGTGAAAGCATCCTGCGTGGAGAAAAGGAAAGATTTTTCTTATCCTCGTGTTCCCAACCTACTTTACTACTTTACTACCTACGTTTCTGATTTATCAACAGAACGTCGTTTTTATTCTGGTTTTGTTTCATTAAATATTTTATGATGTAACAAAATGTCTGC